GCACCTACCTCGATAGGTTGACAGAACACAAAACGGGAACTAGCCGAACAAAATTGAACGTCCTGATATTACGGCTAAATATAAGTGGAAGCCAGTAGACAAGGGCAGTTTTCTTTTGTTTACGTTGTTTACGTACGCCTCAAAATTACAAAAGAAGAGACTTCGTCGAGCTTCCCTCCTCCATGATAGCGGAACTAAAAGCAAACCCCCTCCCCCTCCGCCTCTCACCCTTACCCATCATTTTTTAATGTGAAACCACCAACTGTCCCATGGAGCGAAGCCATAGTTGTCTGTAACCGTCTGTAGCAGCAAAACGGCAATTAAATTCCCATTGGCCAAAAGCGCAGCCACGCAAATGCCTCGTCACGGAAGTCGGAAAGGCGCTCAAGGTCAAAACGAACGCGCCTCAGAAATAAAACACAAAGGAAAGCGCAGCAAACGCAGATGCATCGTCTCGGAAGGGCGGAGTCGACGGGGTTCGCTGCACCTGCGCAGTAGGGAAGCGTGATGTAACTGCCGGAGCGCCGTGAGCGATAGGAAGGCGTGGCGCGCTGTTTGTTGGAATGCGCTGCGTGTAAGAACGTTTTCGCGTTCCTACACGTAAGCAATCTTAAGTGTCTTTTTTCCAAGTGAACTTTTCCCGCATGAATAGATGACCTCATTTTAATGATCACTCTGTTTCCAGACCCCTCACCATCGTGTTGAAAGCGATTTTGGTGTTGGATGCTTTTTTTTTTCGTGCAAGCTAGCTATACGCCTCGCAAGTGGGCTCATTTTCGTCTTCTGCGCATGAGAAAGGAAGTAGCGGTGACGTCAGAACGCCGAGCCCTGATTGGCTGATCGCGACCCCTTATCTGAGCGTCGTCTGCTCCTTTGCAACGTCGTCTGCTCGCAACGTCGTCTGCCTCTGTCTCACCTTTCCTGCGACTTTCGGAAGTCGAGTGAGCTCGACTTCGCCTTTCAGAGGGGGCAGACGAAATAACTCGAGTGGTACGTTGTTTTTGTTTAACAACTAGCCGACGCGCATCAAGGCGGGAAGTCAAAGGACTCAATGGCGAGGTGTCCCGAGACGCCAAGGTTTGTTTGCTAAGAACCGAGAGTGAGCGTGTTAGTCTCCGCAAGTTCCCTCCCAAATACTTTTTCCCTCCTTTCGTGTGCGGCGAGACTTCTCACTCTTTAACGGCGTCGGCGGGTCGGCGCAGTTAACGTCGTCTGCTTTACGTCTGCTAGTCAAAGCGATGGCTGCTTTACCTTTCCTACGTCTGTCGGAGATTCACCGCTTTTTCACCGGGGAGAGTCACCATTCCTCGGAAAACAAGGAGATGACAAGAGGAAGAGATTGACCTCTTAATCTAAAATTAAGGTCAGCGATCAAAGTATTAAGACGGGAAGGGTTCACAAGGGTCGCGCGGGCATATTCCATTCAGCACGCCAGCCGGTCGTGGGCAGACGGTCGCCGAGTCGGAGTGCCTGCTAGGCCTATCTGCCGTGCTCGCTTGGTCGTTGTCGGTAGAATCGTGGCCGTTGGAGCTTTTTCGGGTGTTTATGGATCCAGCGTTCTTGTTCCTCGTGATCTGTTTCAAGTATTTTTTACTTTTTCCTTGCTGCTTGAAGTCGGGACGCGTGAGAAGCGCACGTAGAAAAATAAACGTCCGTTGGTCGGCGCGACCGCGACGCTGTCGGCCATGCTGATTTGATTAAGACAGCTTCGGAGCTGTCGTAGGATTTCGTCGTAACCTGCGCAAAACTTACGAAAATTTCGTTTCGTGAATACGAATTTCTTAAGTTTTGTCATACGCACATTTTTGGCGTAAGATCGTTTTGTGAATCTGACCTCTGCGTTCCCGAAAGTCGAAGGAAAGGTAAGACAGACGCAGACGACGTTGCGAGCAGACGACGTTGCAAAGGAGCAGACGACGCTCAGATAGGGGGTCGCGATCAGCCAATCAGGGCTCGGCGTTCTGACGTCACCGCTACCCCCTGCACAAGGAGCAGACGAACTTACCCTCCGCATAGTTTGGAAGGTGTCGTACGCAGTTGCTCGTCGCAAGCACATGCTCGTTCTTGTCGATTCAATATGCTCTTTACTTTTACATAAACCACAAATAAACGACGTATGAATCACCTTTTCTCGTGGGGTAAGTAGATCTTTTTTTCTTGAGTATGACTTTATTTTTTTTCTTTTGCAGCGGGGACGAAGTTAGTACTGCATAGACACGGGTCGAAACACAGCAGCCATTTTGGAAAGCTGCTCGATCACGCTAATGCGCAAACGACAGTCGGTTCTGCAACGGGCGAAGCGGAAAAAGCACTCACTTCGGTTTTCGGTATCTGCAATCAAACGTCCGCAAAATGTCGTTCGATAAAGATGTGTCCGGGGAGTAGCGAGAAGTGGGAATGTCAAAGGGACTGATCTTACTGTAGAGTCACAGCATCGAATCAAAAGAAAACGTGGGGCTTCGAGCGCATTAATTCCAAGTATCGGGTCAAATAGCGGAATTAGAAATTCATCTCAAGTCAGGATGTGAATGGAATGCTTATTTTACACATTTTACGGCATTTATCACTCTCCGACTGCGTTGTATTTCCCATGGTCTCTACGGGACCCTGCGGAGCTTCACGCCTGCTAAGCTTCCGGGGTTGCGACAGTCCGGTATGCAACAGTGCCTACAGCTTCGGCGTTTGGTCTTCTGCAACATCCGGTAGCAATGCTAAGAATAAAAAAAACAAAAACACACGAGTCAGCACCTTCAAATTGATGCGTGAACAGCCCCACGAGCCAGCCTGCTAGACGGTGGAACGTATCACACCAAACTTGATTGCCCTGAGGGTATATGCCCCCCAGCCCACCTTCAGGGATTGTCGGCATTTCAATGTATGATTCGGCTGCAATATAGAGGACTTCACCCTCATAGCATCGTTGAGGATCGCGGCGAGCGATCGAGAAAAAAGACGGTTCATAAGGCGAGAGTTGTGGAGGGTAGCGACGAAGAGGAGGGTTCAGTTGACTTCCGTTAGATGGCTCCGCGCACACTTGTGTACTCCGAATGACGTCGCACCGTGCTTCCGGTGTCCACCACGTGGAGCTGCAGATTGGGGGAAAATCTACTTTTTCTTTCACGATTAATTAGCGAAATTTCAGTACTTCGACGTAAGGTGGCGCGTTTCCTGTCGTTTGTACAGAGATAAACAATAACAAAAAAAATATGGCGAATTTCTAAGCAATTCTGTTTGATACGTGAAACGTTCTATCATCACAAACATTTAGGGATGGCTGCACCTCGTGGTTGCACCGCCGATCTAAAATCGGTATCACGGACGTCAACTTCCCCGATAAATTTAGCGAGGAAGCTGAATTCATGTACGGGTCGGCTGACGTCAAATTTCCCGCTAAATTTAGCGGGGAAGCTGAATTTCTGTATAGGTTACGTGACACGAAACCATGTTACGTAAATTTTCCCGCTAGACTTAGGGGGAAACTAAATTAGTTTGGAGGTCACGTGACGTCACTTTTTCCGCTAAATCTAGCGGCGAAATTGAATCGGCGTTGAGGTCACGTGACTTAAATCTTTCCGCTAAATCTAGCGGGGAAACTGAATTTGTTTATAGGTCACGTGACGTCAGTTCACTCACTATATTTAGCGGGTGAACTGAATTTGTGTAGAGGTTGCGTGACACGGTCGTGATGTCTTTTTCCCGCTAAATTTAGTGGAGAAACTGAATTGGTCTTGAGGTTATGTGACGACAATTTACCCGCTAAACCTAATGGGGAAACTTAATCCGGCTTCACGAAATTCGGAAGAACTAGCCACGTGACATAGAGTGAGTGATATCGATTGCCCCGTTATATTTAGCGGCGAATTTTCATTGGCGTTGAGGAAACATGACGCCAAGTTTCCCGCTAATTCTAGCAGGAATACTGATTTTGTGTAGAGGTCACGTGACGTCGTTTTTTCCGCTAAATTTAGCGGGGAAACTGAATTGGTGCTGACATCACATGACGTCACGTTTCCCGCTAAATCTAGCGGGTAAATTTAGTCCGGCTTCACTTAACCCGGCTTCAAAAAATCCAAAGCTACCATACATCCACGTGACATGAGGTCATGGGGCATCATTTTCACCGTAAAATATAGCGGGAAAATTTAATTGTGCAACGTAAATTTTCACGCTAAATCTAGCGGGGACCCTGAATTTGTGTTGAGGACACGTGACACGAAGCCTTGTGGCGTCAGTTTTCTCGCTAAATTTAGTGGGGACACTGAACTGGTGTTGAGGTCACGAGACGTCTATTTTCCCGCTAAATCTAGCGGGGAAACTTAATCCCGCTTCGCTTAATACAGCTTCACCCAAAGGGGCACTGAAGTCGATTCTGAGATCGTCCTTTTGTGGTGATAACTCAATCTAGACGCCTTAAGCATCCCAGCAAACAAGAAATTACAATCGTGCGTAGCTTATTTCCACCTTAAAAACATGTTCGAAGATCTCAACACGCCAAATTTGGGAAGAATTTTCTTCCGCGTGAAGTGGTCGACGTAGGGCGCTTGTCAGCGAGTTGCAAGCGATGGCTTCGCCCGCGCTGAAAAAGAGGAGTCTTATCCGAATGTGTGCCTATCAGACTCTCTTCAAAACAAGTTATAATAAAACCACTCGGAATCTGCGCGTGTTGTAGGGCCTTCATTGGGCCAGGCAATGTAGTCCACGAGAAAAAAGTCTACATGCTTTTTTTTTTTATTGCCCTGAGATGAATAGGCGGTTTTGTAGTATGAGGACTTGGTATAGTGGGAACTAACAGATTTTAAACAATATAAGATCCAAAACGACCTTATTCAAAACTGACTTCAGTTTAATTCGGCTTCACTAAATTCGAATCAACTAGCCGAAGAACGTTTCACGTTAATACAGGCTGCAAATTCTTTCAAATTCCCCATTGCTGCATTCTCCTAATATTCTATTACTGATCAATTGTCACAGCCAATTAAGAAGCAAAATATTATGCTTACGTCAACAAACTCGAACCTCAGCATTGTTTCGGGATTGCAGATCTTTTTTATAGCTCTCCTTAACTGTGGCAGAAAGCGCGCCTTGTTGGTATCGACCACTCCAGGACCTAGAATAAAACAAAAAAAGAACGTCAGATATCACTTTTATTTTTCATATAGATATCATGTATAGAAAGGAAAATGCACTTGAAATTAGCTTGAAAAAAAGGTGTTTGTGAAACGTATATAAACGAGTAAGTATGCTACTCCATCGTCAAGGATGTTGATTATCAACAAAAACAACAATTCAATTCACTTCAAAATAAATAACAGACGGTGAAAATGGCACTTCAAGCTCGACTGAAACTGATATAGGCGAAAAACTATATATGGGCTGAAATATTTTCAATTTCTTGTTGGTTGGTAGTTTGTTCGATGTTGATATTAAAGCATGAATGCAACGTTAAATAACTACATAATCACGATGATTTAAATTCATCAAAGACAACGTTTATCACAACTGCAAAACTTTTCTTTGCTCACAAAACCGCGTTATTCCTTGCTGCAGAGGACTTATATCTGTGCCTAAAACTTTTAACTTGCGTGTTGATTGGGGTTTCTGGGACTGGAATAAAGCTTAATTGCACTATCGCCTAAAATATAACCTGGAAAATACAAAAAAGTCGGTAGCGGCATCTATCTCCAAAGTCGTATAATTTACACAATGCAGTATTTAAAATGATTGTTTACATTTGACGTCTGACATGTGACGTCCCGTGAAATGACGTCACGCCAGGTGGTCACGTGACTTACCGGCGTCGAATTCTGGTGTCACACGACATCACCTCACGTGCGACCATGACGTTAAGGCAGACAGTTAGATCACGCGTCATAACGCAACGCGACGTGGCCATGTGACGTGACGGCATGTTACACCAAGAAGAACTGTTAGCCAGCTGCGCGGACATGCCCTGACATGCAAAAACAGACAGACGCACTAACGGACAAATTTCTGGTATACTTCGTTTCATCTTGTGCTGAACCGCAGCGGAAGGCTAGAGAACTCCACAGCCAATCAAGCGCCAGTGTTCAAGTGACGTCACCTGGTTCGTCGAGTGTTTGTCAGTGCGCGAGTTAAAATGGCGCTGGTTGGTCAACCGGCGTGGACGCGGAGTGGGTGAAACTTTCTGTGTGCTGTGTCCGAGAAGATCTAGACTTCGTATAATCTAGATTTACTGCACAAGTTTAAGTGTCTTTGGTTACCATGGCTGGAACCTCTTGATGTGCCGAGGTTGACGCGAAGCTGTGTGGTCTCAATTTTTTGAGTGGGATCGGTGGGATTGCACGGTATGACATCCTATCACAGATGCTTTGCACGTCGAGCGGAAACAGCCTCCGCAGAAACTCTGCGCCTCACTGCTTGTGCCACTGGAAAAATTAGACTTTTACGTCGCTAAACGGATAAATTATTTCTCGAGAAGAGAACGTCGATTCCAGCCTAGCACCCTCGAGAAATCGCGAAATGTCTCGCCTGCATGAACTCGCAGACCAGTGCTCGTATGGATTCGAAAGTGCAGATACCGATGACTAACACTACTCAACGAAGACCTGTTGGAAAGTTACTGACAAAGCACGCTTGGCTGAGCACAGCTGTTTATGCCCTTTTTGCAACGCCATAAAGGTATGCGGCACTGACGAATAAACGTATTTTTACCGGCGATACCAGGCATGCTGCCAGTGTGACTATTCTTCCGCATTCACCACAGCTCAGGTCTTCTTTGGACGATCGCTCCGTACGACTTGCTCGGAGACTCAGAACGAAGTTTGTAGTATACGTTGAGCATAATTTACCGCGCTTTTCTTTCAAACGCGATTTTTTTTTTTTTTGTTGCAAAAAACTGTCTAAAAGCGAGCTGGCGAAGGAAACACAGCCCCGACGGAGACGCGCCTGCTGATTCCGAGGCCATTATGGGGCTAACAAAAGTGAAAGAGCGGTTATATTTGTCAGGTTACATTTTAAACAAAAAGCAATGTCATTTTAAAGCTAAATTATTACTTCCAAATAAATATCTAACTCAGGTTTAAAGTATCCCTACGTTCTAAATATAAAATATCCATTGGGAGAAATCTTTCTTTGCAATACGTCACATCGTCGATGGTGCATGCATGTTGAATAAACGAACGTCACGGCAACGGCAAGCTTGCCCAACCAGAAGACTAAATCCTACAACCATGCTACATATTTAAATATTAAATATCACGTTTGAGAGCTTCGTTAGATATATTGTGTATCACTGGTACAAAACACGGACATTACGCAAAGAACAAAGGCTACGTGCCTTGTGATATCAAAGTCTTTGGTGCACTACTTTGCGATTATTAAGAGTGTCTTGCTAGGGCCATCTCACTGCCCCCTAGCCTTCCCCTGCGGCTCCGCACAATATGAAACGAAGCATAGTAGAGGCTTTAGTTTAAAGCATTATATGCTTTAAAGACGCTTTTTTACTGGTGTTTTCTCAAGTCCTGTATTACAACTTGGGTTGAACTTGGCACAGGAAGAATAAAACGAAATCGGGACAATGGACTACGAAATATTTTTAAACTCGCAAGAAGATGAATTAACTGAAAAGCCTTCTTTACAATTGCACCCGGCAAATACAAAGAAGAGAGGGAGATCGAAAGAGAGAATGAGAGTTTCGTTTTATTCTTTCTGATCTAAGTCAACTTTAAAACGCGCCCTACATTTGATTTAAATATGCTAATCATGAAAGGAGCCTGGAACGCCCTTTGAGATAGTTCTGCTTATTCACACGCGGGGTGACTGGGATAGCCAGAATTGATTGTAATTTATTTCATTGCTGACTGAATGGGTGAGGGAGTTCTGGAAATGTGGTTCAAGGCTAGGGCGAGAGAGATCACAGCCTATGTTTACTGACAGGTTACAAAGTCAAAGAAAGAGCTTTCAAGTGGACAAGCCTAGCACGAACTAGCAAGAGCGTAAGCAAAGATGTTGATATGACACCATGCTCATTTTAAGATTTTAGACTATACGTAACCTGCTACGAGTAATGTGATACATATATGTAGTTACTTTTCAGGTTAACGACTTTTCAAGAGGGGGAACGAGTAATTCCTTATATTATGGAGTGGAGTACCAAGTAACGGCGTTTAGAAACTTCCTGGAGGGGATCGTAAACAACACAAATTAGCCAACCTCGTTCTGCTCCGATCACGCGCCTCTAAATTTCGAGACGAAAAAGCCATAGGAAAAAGTATGTGCACGAAGTACGAGACTATAACTACAGTTATCGTCAAAATATAGAATGGTGAATGGTTCCCTCCTCCTAACAAGAGTCCTACAAGCAAACACAAGTTTGTTTCGGTTAACCTCTTAGGATATTTTTTTTTCCATTTTTCGCGTGTCAGTAATGTCTAGCTTCATTTAAGGAGAGAATTCGATACTTACATGGGTCAAAAGTAGGCCAAAGACAGGGTGGGGGTAAAATTCTGGTATGGTATAACAGTTTAATCCAGGAATTCATGGACAGAGGGGACAATCTTTGTGTAGTTGTCAGAGGTTCAAGCTGGGGCGAAAGCTAAATTGGGTAACTTGGCTCTACACCTTCCCCTTCAAAAGTAACTAAATGACATTACTCATTGCTTCGTAAAAAAAATTATACATATTTAAAAAAAAAACAAAAAAAAACGTTACTCGCTTTTAGATTTAAAATCAACTACGTCGTAACTGTGTTTCCGGTGAAGTGTACCTAGACACAAGTAACGCTTTACGTTGTACGAGTCTCTCTAATGGTTTGACAGATTTTGAGGCAGGATATTTTGTGTCGACCAGTTAGGGCAGCAAAGACAACTATTTCGAATTATCAAACTAAAATGTTTAGTTCGTTAGCCGACCGACCAGTTCGTTAGCCGTTTTTTGTAGATTGTAAATGTAAATTTGTAAATTTAATGTAAATTTACATTTACATTTATTACATTTACAAAAAAATGTAAAAAAATGTAAATGAAAATTTGTAAAATAAAAAAATTGTAAATTAAACATTAAAATGTTTAATTTACGGATGTTTGGACGTTCCAAAACCGGGAACCACGTTTTGTACAGAGCAAATTAAAAATTAAAGCTGTAAATATTGTGATACTATCTATTCGCCTTTTAAGTTGTTAAATCACGATTTTTTTCTAGTTTAGACCTCGAAATTGTATTTAGACCCAGGTATCTATAGTCAAGTTCGTTTACAACTTACTTTATCAGAAAGAAAAAAAGCTTAACAGAATAGGCGCATTGTGTTAGTCATATTATTATTAGATTATCTGTTACTCAAATTTGGAAAAATATTGGATAATCAGGGCTTTGTAGAAATGATAGCTTCGGCAAAGTTCTAAGTATATTGTGTTCCTTACAGGATTTGTGCATACGTATAAGTATCGATCAATCTCTCCTGCAATCGCCATCAAGAGAAGCGAACTGTATTGATCGATTGATGAATAGGTATATAGAGATATAAAAATATACATAAATAATTAAAAGGTGGGCTTGAAAGCTGTAATTTGGCAATAAAATGGTAATACCTGTCGCAGGTTAAACACACAGGCCTGCCGATCAACTTTGAAACCTGTATTACCCCGATGACCAACCAAAATAAGCTCCTCTTGGAGTTTCCGGTCTCAACTTTCCTAAATTGCAAGGTTGTTTTCTATTCATTTATGACGTCAAGAAAAATAGTTTCAAATATAATATATTACTGTTTACGGTAATACCTTCAAATGCAAGAGTATATAACTTTGAATTGTGGCGTTGAAGGCAGGGGTGCTTTTCGTAAACTTCTAATCCTGGTTGGGAGAAATCGACCTCGTAGTAGTTTTTAAGGCGGACGTCTTGCTTGAAGTTTGAGTCATCCTTGTTCTGCAATGAATTATTCGATCAAATCATTTACACTCGCCATACAGTTAAAAGAGAACAAGTGAGAGTTTTTTATGTTTACATACAAAAGCTGGAGTTTTTAAAACGGATTTTGTGGCTCTGTTTGTTCCTCTCGGAAACAACCAGATGGTTAAATTTTAGTCTGCCACTACAATATTAGCAAATAAATGCTAATATTGTGTTTCCGCTAACATTGTTGGGTTGAGTACATTCAATAAAAAAAATTAAAGGCGTTTACAAATATCTGTAACGCGAAATTAGAGCGCAGCTCTTAAGGAGGAGGAGAAGGTACGAAAGAGAGGGTATACCCTCCTCTTCTCTGTACCATCTCCTCCTCCCCTCCTCCTCTGCCTCTCGTCCTCCCCTTCTTTCCTCCTCCCCTTTGTCTCTTCTCCTCCTCCTACTCCTCTCACCTTCTCCTCCTTTCATCCTTGTCCTCTTCCTCCACCCCACCCCTCCTCCTCCTCCGTATTTTCCCCTTTTCTCCTGCGTACCCTCCTATCCTGCTGCTCCATACCCTCCCCTCCTCCCACAGGTTCCCCTCTAAATTTAGCTGAAAAATTGACGCCGCGCGACCTTAACAACAATTGGATTCCCCGCTAAATTTAGCGGGGAATTGAAATGCTGGTGAGGTCGCGTGATTTAAATTTTCCCGCTAAATCTAGCGGACAAACTGAATTTGTTCTTAGCTGACGCGACACCAAACCATGTGACGTCCTTTCACCGTCTAAATTTAGCAAAAAACTGAATTGGTACTGAATTCATTGACGTCGAATTTCCCGCTGAATTTAGCGGGGAATTGAATTGCTGTTGAGGTCGCGTGACGTAAATTTTCACGCTAAATCTATCGAAGAAACTGAATTTCTTCAGGGGTGAGGTGATACGAAGTAATGTGACGTCGATTTTCCCGCTAAATTTAGCGGGGAATTGAATTGCTGTTGCGGTCACGCGATTTCAATTTTCCCGCTAAATCTAGCGGACAAACTGAATTTGTACTTAGCTGACGTGACACCAAACCATGTGACGTCATTTAATTTTTTAAGTTTAGCATTAAAACTGAATTGGTGCTGAGTTCATGTAACGTCAATTTTCCCGCTAAATCTATCGAAAAAACTGAATTTTTTTCATGGGTGAGGTGATACGAAGTAATGTGACCTCAATTTTCCCGCTAAATTTAGCAGAAAATTGAACTGCTGTTGAGGTCACGTGAATTCAATTTTCCCGCTAAATCTAGCGGAGAAACTGAATTTGTTCATGGGTGACGTGACACCAAGTCACGTGACGTCATTTTCGCCCTCTAAATTTAGCGGAAAAACTGAATTGGTGCTGAGTTCATGTGACGTCAATTTTCCCGCTAAATTTAGCGGGGAATTGAATTGCTGTTGAGGTCACGTGACGTCAATTTTCCCGCTAAATCTGTCGGAGAAGCTGAATTTGTTCATAGGTGACGTGACACCAAGTAATGTGACATCATTTTCACGCTAGATATAGCGGGAATTGAATTGGTGTTGAGCTCACGTGACGTATATTTTCCCATTAAATTTAGCGCGGTTACACCGGTGGCGGCGCCCACGCCGACGCCGCACAACCCGGAAACAGACGCCTAAGAGCTGCGTTTTAAAAGTTATATATCGTTTCAAGGAATGCCAATTTTTAATAAGCGTTTAAAGAAAATAAGAGTTTAATTCTTGAGGCTTCACTTCTCATTTTCTGAATGTTTGCGACGGCCTCTCACCACTGTCTTAGCGCAAAACCCGAAACCATATCGCGTACGACTTCCCTCAATTCGCAGAGAGCGTCGTGTCAAGTTCATTAAAGCATGGCAGTTGAATTTTTCTAATAAAATTAGAAGTTACAAAAAAAAAAAAGAAAAAAAAAGGGGAAATGCAGAAATTAGCAGAGAAAACAATGGACTCTGAGAGCACGACAGCAGTCCTCGGAGCAATGGTACGGGTCTCGGTGTCTTGGTTTAATTCGTAGAAAAGTCACAACCGAACGACTACTTGTTAGACGCATGCGCAGAAAATAATATAAAAAACGACTTTAAAAACATTTTCATCTTTTTCATTTGTTGTATTCCTTATTTATAAAAAGTCCTTGATTTTTTTTATTCTATTGTTACAGATAGGTCAGACGGGAACTGATGCAATGAGAGTCACACATAACTGGCGCGAGAAAAACAAACATTGTTGTTACCAAGAATCGGACTTGCGAAAAACATAAGAGGTCATAGCGCTTACTAGCCATTGAGAGATAGTCCTACACTACGCGATTACTCTTTAGCAGTGTCAAATGTTTGTTCGCAGCTCCACATTTGTTCGACTATGAGTATCACGGGTAGCGACTTTAATGCGCATGTGCCACGCTCCATGTAGCCCCTGACGTATGTCCAGTACAAGGTCAATGTAGCGCAATCTGTGTATCTGAGTGGGCTACTTACTTAATCCTAGTTCCTGCTTTGAGTTTACATAATACGGTGTGCGCTTCATATCGGGGGGGGGGGGGGGGGGGGGGGTTGTGGAAACAGTAACCTGCACACTTATAATATTTCGCCTTCTTAAAATACATACCCGTGTCTTGTTACACGCCTTGTTGTGGATATTATTTATTTATTATTCGCAAGTTCGGAGAATTTTAAGAATACTGTTAAAACACTGAGAAACGCAAGCGTCCGGAGACTAGAATATTAGAGGTGAGCTGCAATGAAAACCAAATTTGCGACACTCTGATAAACACCCACCGAGTTTCTCCACACCTACATACGGGAAGCCCTGAATCCTAGTTATAAAGTATGCGACGTACTGCATTATTCAATCCCAGAATTAAATTCATGGTACAATAATAATCAATCTTCTAGGGGTGGTTGTGACCGGTAATATCCGATACTCTAATAGAAGATAACTATAAGCAGCACTAGGAGAAATGAGTTCCATTCACACACAGCGCAAGAAAAAAAGAAACACGAAACGTTTTGACGTGGAAAGGGAATTATTGATTGGTCATTAAAAATAATTTACTTATTAATACAATAATGAACATCACCTTGTATGGAGCTTCGCACATACAAGACATTGAAAAGAAGTTCATGCGCACCTCTTGCGTGGTGATTTCTTCCTTGTAGTCTACCACTTGAATAGGCGTAAATAACTTTTTATTGCCACTTGTCTTTTCTTTGACTTCAGTCTAAGGGAGAAATCGAATGCCGATTAGAGTAGCTATACAAATCGTAGGACTGCAACAAATTTACTTCGCTGAAGAACACTTGTTTACTTAAATGTCTGCACATAACTATCAGGAGCTAACATTAAGTGCTTAGTATTATTGTTCATGGGATATCCAGAGGGCCCAGGAGGGACGGCTGAACATTATTTGAAGTTAAAGCAAGTAGGCAGGGGAGCTGGTATCGTGAGTGTCCGTCCCTTTTTGTTTCCTAGCTCCAGGGTTACATGTCCAACATTATTTGTTGCTACATAATGTCTGTTTTTTTACCAGCTTTTGTTTTCTTTTATTTTGTGGCAGACATCCTTAGTAACGTCTCAAGCGAATAATGCACTTCACTTTTTCTTCAAAATAACACAGGCTTCTGTTATTCTTTTTTTTTCTATAAAACGCAAATAAACGTTCTTAGACAGCCTTATTTCTAAGTATAAGCATATTTTGTAATATTAAACATCTTTTTTATTATTTGTGAGATACGAATTGACGAAATAAAGCGCGAGTCTGACGCATTATCCAGCTTGCAGCAATGATGTAATATCATTAGTGAACACGTATCTAGGTCACACATTGTGCTACATTTATTTCACCAATCACAAGATATGCTTTCAGTTTCTTATTTGTTTTCTCGAAATAAAACTGCTACATACCTTAAAATATTAAAATCACGTTTTCTAATAATATTTGTGTTAACCGAACGGACGCGACATGAGAGCATATATTCCCCTCGTTCTAGCGACTATAGAGCAGATGCTGTCGTTGAACAAAGGCCGGCCATTTTTCTAGGCGGAAGAAAATGCCATCGAAGCCTGAAATACAATATTTCCGAGCGTTTCTTTAGTTAAAAAAAATTTTGGTTTTGATATAGTCATGATAACGACACATTACAGAAAAAAAAAAAAAAACTTTTTGAAAAATTAAGCGGGGTTTCACGCTAGCCAAACACTGTTAAATGCATCGTCTGACGCATGCTTTCACATTTGCAGCATCTTCTTCATTGGAATTCGGAACTCTTTGGCACTAAAGCTGCGTTCAGGTCTGCAGGGTTCACATCGGCCCGGCTCCAACACCCAGCCATCTCATACCTTCGACTACGGTTGTATATATCACAGAAGTCAGCGCGTCAGTTTGGTAGGGAAGGGCGACGGCAAATCGGTTGGAATAAGCTACGTATCGTGGCAGGCCCTGGTAGAGTTTCGCTGGAAATCCGCGACGTGAAAATTCTCTCTCTGTAAAGTGCGAATCCACTTTTTGAGCGCTTCACAAAACGTGCGCTCTAAATATACACATGATCCTAACCGAAGACGAAGATAAGCACTGCTGAATTCAAGAATTATATTGTTATGATATTCAATTTGTTTAAATATGCTTTTATTATTAATTTATCGTAACGACTTCTAAAAACAATCACTGCAAGTTGCGGGTGAAGAAGAGCGTTTTTCAAGGTATGAACGAGGTTTTCACTCCAAATTTATGCATGTGTTTTTTTTTAATTTGACCTTTTATTGAGATAACTATGCTCATTCTTGAAGCACGGACCACAAATTTTAATAAAAAATTACTGGTAGCCAAATTTGTTTCTTCGGCCGCTGGTACTGGCTCATGTGCGCCAAGAGGAAACCAGATGCACTAACTGATTTTGATAAAATTTCTTTGATGTGCTTTAATGAAAGCTTCATCCAACCGCTCCCTTGGTCTAACCCTGTTTTACATAGACAACCTTGCAAAAGTGTAAAACGTATCGAGTTATTGGTGAAGGGCTCAGTGATCTTAATACGTGCCGTATTGCATTATCTTGAACAGTATGATCGGGAACCCCGGATCGCGTGCCCTTCGATTCATGTAGTGCTACCTGGAGGCTGATAAAACAGCGTGAGGGTGTGCACAAATATTTTACTAGGGAGATACAGTCCACTCTGTCCATTTGCATTAGAGCTGCAGCGCGCTGCGCCATATCCTCCCCTTGCGGTATGATCCTATGTCTGCGTCCGCCAAGGCTTACGCAGTCGGCGCCAACGCGCTGTCGGGATCGGCTTCCTCCCTCGTCCGGTTAGGCCCGACAAACGCAGGCTTGACGGCGTTATATTTTTTTGGTTGCCATGCGGTGTTCTCGCAACGATTGTAGAAGGGTTAAAAAAGCAGACGGTGCGGAAATTCGGTAATGGAGATGGCAGTGCTACGTTACCGGCTGCAAGCACCTCATTTAGCAAGGAAAAGACCTGCCCTCCTTTCGTTTCCCTCGGGAAACAAGTACGTAAGTTTCAGCTTTTATGAAATCCTGTTTTTGTTCTGACTGGATGACTTTCAAATAAATGATGAGATATATAATTCCAGCTGCAGGAAATGGGTAGTTCGCTGCAGGTCAAAACGTGCTGGTTTGACCACTTTTGCGAAAGCGACTTCTGCAACCTATATACTATAGCAGGGGTGGCGAAGCTGCGGCTCCTCGCGTGTTAAAATGCGACTACACCCCCCCCCCCACACACACACACAAACACACGCACACCCCCCCCCCCCCAAAAAAGAAAAAAAAAAAAATATATATATATATATATATATCTTTTGCTTTTTCTTCTGGTAACACGAGGACTTCCCCCAATTCCCCCAAAAAAGAAGTGGAACGCGTTTGAAATCGAAAGACAGGCTGCGGTTCGGTAGTCTTGTGCTACTGCTATCTTACGTACAGCTGGACAGCTTTTGACTCAGATAGATTGGAAGTGGCTGGAGTTGAGTTAATTTCTCTAAACAAAGTAACCCCCTTCCCGCCCCCCGCGGCTCTTGGAAGTTTAGTCGTGTTCTTTGTTTTGCGGCTCTTATGGCTCGTTCACGCTTGTGAAATACGCACTGGCCGCCGGCTGAAATCGCTCGCCGAAAAAAAAGATCGGGCCGTTCACATTTGTCGCCGCCTGCGGAGTGCGCGGCTCCAGCGTCTCGCAGTTTCCTCAATATTCGAGAGTTGGCGAGGGCTCCCAAACCTCCTCCCTGCCCGCGCGCGTCTCGTCGTCATCGTCGCCAGCTCGTCAGCGGGTATCTGACGTCTGCAAGCGCCACTTCCCCCGCGCGTTCCGATTGGCTTGCGGCGAGCGAAAGTTTTTTTTTTTTTTCCGGCGTTCAAATTTGGTTCCCAGAGCGATCTTGCTCTCCGCCGGAAATTCTGCCTGCTTTCGTCGCCTGGTGTCAGGATTCTCGCGAATCCGGCCGCCGGTTCGCAAGTGTGAACGAGGCATTAGGCTGGGTCGGCCTGGCCGCAACTGTAGCTATATTGTTTTTAAACAATATAATGTTATTTGAATGCCAGAAAAGAGTTGCTCGAGATAGAGCATACATAATAATAATATTAATAATAATATTAATAATTCATAATTCATAATTCATAATTTATTTGTGATGAAGGGGCATATCCACAAAACAACGCAGGTTCGTCAAAGCCTTCATGGGCTTGTGTGATTAAACCGAGGTTGCAGAGATATCAAAATAATTATCACAAAAGAAGAAAGAAAAAGGAAAAATATAAAAAGAAAATTGTGAACTGGACCAGAATTAGCTATAATTCCAGTTGAAGCTGAGGTTTCCGTACCACAAGAAAATATAAAATTCAATAAAAATAAAAAGAAAGTCAGGTTATGTCACTAGAAAAAAACCACAGAATCGTTCCTTGAAGAGTTGCACGATGACGGGTACGTCCAGGTGAAGATTGAGATTCTCAGTGGATGAGAACAGTCACAAAACGAGTCATGAAAACGAAAGAAAACAAAAAATATGACGCAGAATTTGACACAAGCAAAATTGAGTTATATCACAAATACACCAGACTGAGGACAGCACCATATTTGTGTCATTAATAGTAACCATAAATAAAAGCACTATTTTAATCAATCACCTTTGGACTATACGCAAGATGCACAAATCAAAAGAAGGGCGTTTAAGAAAAAAATACAAAACGCAAAAAAGAACACACACAAAAATGTTATACATTTTTAGATCGACTCATCGGAAGACAGGAGAAGGCGAAGCGATTTTCTAAGCTTTTTTCTGGAAGTGAAATCAGGGAAATTAGCAGGTAAAGAATTAAAAATCCGAGGAACGTAGAAGGACCGCAAGTTCTTGCCATATCGAGTGTAACATTTGGTGATAACAAATCGTGGAACCGTTCGTAGTTGCCGGATATTCGGACGAGGTGTTTTGAAGTCAGAATTCCAGTAATGACTAAGGACTACCGTTTCCACAAACAGAGATTGAAAGTTGGGCATAGATAATATTTGAAACATATTCTGAGAGGAAGTAGTAGGCCTGTAGTTAACATTACGCAGCATTCCTTTTAGAATATTATTGATTTTTGCCTGCCATAATCCAGAGCAATTTCCAAAAATGGTGATTCCGTAGCGGAGGGAGCCATATGCTAACGAGTGAACTATGAGTTTCCTGAGATTAAGTGGTAGAAAAGCCTTGATATTGTACATTAAGCAAGAAACGCTCCTTAACTTAGAACACAGTCTTGTGAGGTGTGAATTCCAAGAAAGATCAGAATCAAAAATAATTCCTAAATACTTCACAGTGTCTGAGAAAGCGATGGGAGTGCACTGGCAGTTGACACAGTGCGACGTGTGGAGGAACAGTGGAGTATTTAGATCAACTAACTTAAGGGGATTGTGAAAACATACTAACTTAGTTTTTGAGACATTGATATCTGTAAGATTATGGGCGAACCAGTTCATTAGTCCTAAAGAACATTCCTGGAGCATCTCCATAGCCCTTGAATAAGTAAGATGACTTGTTAACAAAAGAGTGTCGTCCGCGTATTGATAAAGGGAGCAGTTCGAAACAGAGGTAGACATATCATTTACAAAGATATTGAAGAGTAAAGGCGAAAGTACAGAGCCCTGTGGGACACCAGATTTTAAAGAGACTTTGACGCTGTGTATGCCTTTGATTGAAACCAGCTGGGAACGATCTTGCAGGAAATTAGT